CACTGCCAGATAGACAGCCAACACAGCCCACTGCCAGATAGACAGCCAACACAGCCCACTGCCAGGCAGCCAACACAGCCCACTGCCAGGCAGCCAACACAGCCCACTGCCAGGCAGCCAACACAGCCCACTGCCAGGCAGCCAACACAGCCCACTGCCAGGCAGGCAGGCAGAGGCAGCGCTGTGTGCTCACTGTTCCCACGGCTGTGGCCCAGCACCTTTTTCCAGCATCGCGATTTGCTGAACACACAGCAGGGCTGAGCTCTTGCCACCCTGTGACCCAAACGGGGCTCAAGGCCAGCCGTTCCTGGCACAGAACCCAGCGGGGCACCTGGCTGGGACCTGGGCCCCAACTGGGAGCGAGGAGGGAGAGCCAAGCAGGGCCTATGGGGACGGCACTGAGACAACCACGCCGGCATACCAAGGGTTAACCCCCAACATGGCGGGGGGGCGGGCGAGGAGCCCCTCAGATCACGTGACCCGCCGAGGGGAGCCAGGAGAAGGCCGCTCCTCGGCATTCTTCGACGGAAAGGGGCTTGGAGAAGGACAGAGAAGAGGAGCGCGGCCCCTCGCCGCCTCACCTCTCGCTGTTGTTAACGATGACGCCGCCGCCCTCCGAGTGGTTCCTGTTCAGCGCCATGGCCGCTGCCGCCCCCTCGCTGCGCCGGGCCCGCTCTGCGCCTGCGCGGAGGAGAGGCGGACGGGGCGGGCCGCTGCGCGCGGTGCACGCTGGGACTTGTAGTCCCTGGAGCTGGTGGTCCCGGGGCATGCTGGGAGTTGTAGTCCTCTCGCTCAGCAACCATCCGAGGGAGCTCTTTGAGGGATGTTCTCTGCCCAGAATCGTGTCTCACTGCTTCACTCAGCCTCGTCTGCCATCCCTGAGGAGCAGTGCCGCCTCCTCTGCAACTAATATCACTATTAATTCACTGAGCTAAAGCCAGATGCTTTTCTGTACATAACCCAAAGTGCCTGCCTCCTTTTTGGGAGAACCCGTTTACTGACCCATCAGTCACCCAATTATGCAGTCCTTTGACCATATATAATAAAATGATTTCAGTTATTTGCAGCCTGCGTGACTTGGCAGCGCTTCCCCCAGCTTCCTATTTTAGATGGCACCACAGTGCTCACAAAGAAAGCACGAGGAGTTTGCCCCGTGCCCTGACTGCATTCCAATTCCTTTTATTTCCCCTTCCAAGATGTTATATTTTGCTGCAGTTTGCACATTTTCAGCGCTCAGAGTAAAAATCCCATGAATCTGGCGGTACTACACATCAACTGAGGCTCAACCCCTTTAACAGCGAAGGTTCTCCCTCAGTTTCCAGGCTTCCTAAATTCATGCTCAAAGCCCATTTTGTGCCCCAGACACCTGAGCCCAATCTTGGGTGTGAGCTGTGCTGTGGGTTCCTACAATTACCCCTCTGAGGGTTAAACTGGAGGGACTGAAAAGTCACCCCATAGACAAGACAGAAATCTGTCTCCTCTCATGGGCAAGAAGAAATCTGGGGACAGGAAAATATCTGTGGTGTTGGCACAGCTACAGTTTGGGTATAACCCACTGCTTCCAACTGGAGTTGACTCCTAAAACAATAATAATGCTTGCATAATTTCATTAAAACTACTGCAAAATTAAATGTTTTGAAGAACTCCTCGTATCACTGAGCAGCATAATGCATGAATATGTATTAAGAGCTGATATTAGCTTAAATTACATCTTTTTAGATGGATTTGAGCTTTCTCTGCAGGGTTTGCAGCCCAGCCCCACCTTAGTGCTTGCAAATCCCCAGAGGCAGTGGGGAAACAGAAAACCTCCATAATGGAAACCAGATTTAAATAAGCTCAGTGACATAATGTGTGCAGCCCTTGGCAAGAACAGCACAAGTTTGTGCCTTTCGTATCCGCTTTTTTAATAAGTTGTAAGTTTCCCTTTAAAGAAATGCTCATAACAGAAAGCCCCAATTCCTCTCCTATTAAAGTCAGTAGCACGCATCCACACAGCTTCCCCCAATGCTCCCAGCCACTTCTCATGAGCTAACAGTGCCTGATAATGCTCTTCTCATAGCCCCAGCTGACATCTGGTATTAAGAAGCTCTGTCTCCATGTTAAGAAGTGCTGGCGTGCATGGGAAGCTCCAGAACTCCTTGTTTCGTGGAAATGTATACAGATTAAAATGCAAAGGGAAAAAACGTCTCATCTGTTCAACTTTGCTCTTTCAAAGTCAAGGACAGAAGTAGAAGAGAGACAGAGAGAGCTGAGACAATTCATTGTTTGGAACTGCCCAGCACCGTCAATATTGTTGTTGGATTCCAGGATTCTTCCGCTTCTTTTGTAGTCGAGTGATAGAAAAAATGTGTGCTTGGCACAAACCCTGCAGACACACTTGGAAAATAAAACCTCTGTTATTTTTTGCCGGATGCACAGACACAGAAAAAAAAAAAAACAAGCAAAGGATAACGGGACAACGGCAGTGGTTTGGTGTTTAAAGGAATGACAACCCACAGCTATGTTTGTGTAACATTTAATGGCAAATCAGAGTCTCTATCACAGAATCACAGAATGGCACGAGTTGAAAGGGACCTCAAGGGTCACGAATCTCCAACCCCCTGCCACACGCAGGGCCACCAACCTCCCCGTTTAATATCAAACCAGGCTGCCCAGGGCCCCATCCAACCTGGCCTTGAACACTTCTTCACACGCTGCAAGAGATTCTCAGTAACTGTATATTTACAAAAATCTAATTAAAAGGAGGAACATTCTGTGACAGCAAAAAAATAACTCGAAGGAGCACGGAAAGGCCACTGAAATTGCAAAGTGCTGCCTATCTAAACTCACCACGCACAGTGCTCACAGCAAAAAAATCAGAGATCCAGGGCTGGCATAACGTACGTTTCCTAATCATTCCAGTACACCCCAAATTATTGGCAACACAGAGCAAACTCTGATCCAACACCAGGGGGTGGGAACTCCCGTCTTACGTCAGTCAGCGTTTGCTTTATGCCCTAAACCACCAGGATTTCTAGCACTTCCAGCCTGGATGTGAAGCAGCAGGAAGGAGAGGGTTTGTAACACATTATAGGAGCCCTCCAAACCCCTCTGTGAGCTGCACGCCAGCACCCAGCTATAGGGCAGGAGCAGTGGAGCGATGCCCTCGCTGTGGGAAGCAGCAGAAGCAGAGCCCAGGCTCCCAGTGCTGCTCCCCTGGGGCTGCAGGGATGGAAAAGGAAAAGCACCGGATTCCAAGGAATCAGCTGAAAGCTGCAAGGAGAGGAATCTCACAGCTTTGGTTTGGGCAACACAGGGAAGGGAGGGATCATGGCTGGAGCGCACCGTTCCCCCCGGGAGCCATCCATCCACCCACAGCCAAATGAAATGGGGCAAAGGACCAGATCCACTCTATTTACTCTGGCAAAACTCCTTGCAGCAAAAGGTAGGGCTTTCGCCTGAATAAATGACATCTGGGGCTCGGACACAGCCCACGTGCCAGATCTCTTCCCACAGACGTGCAGTGCAGATCAGGGTTACCTTCCTCTTCCTCCCAGCACATTGCTGCTGCACGTCTCCAGACTTCTTATCCAGCAAGGCACTGCTGACCCCGCTGTAACCAAGCAGCCCCGATGCTCGCAGTGTCACTGCTACGGCCTCGTGCAGGGCATTTTGCAGGAGGCTGGCCGAGTGAATCACAGCATTTCCGAGGTAGGAGCTCAGGTAGGAGCTCAGGACACAGGGAGTGAATTCCATCTGGGCAGCATTCCTGCGGGCCATGGTGTTTCCATCCAGAGATGCAGCACTGGAAGCCCTACACCCTTTCCCAGTGGTTCAGGAGGAGCAGAGGAGGAGTAGGAGCAGTTTCAGGCACATCCCAGTGCCATGCTAACATTCCTGCCCTGTCCTGCGGCTAGATTGCTGCATTCAGATCGTTCGGCCCCATTTGAGGGCTGAAAGCAGTGGCTGTTTGCTGGGGACGGGCAGCTCTGTGTGCAAAGAACACCCACTCACCAGCAACAGGAGCCATTGGAGCCGCGGTGTTTATGTAAACGTGGCTAAACTCTAAACCTCCTGGCTTCATGCCTGCCTGTTTTTCACATTCGTTTTTTTTTTTTTTTCCCTTGGCTCCCTTTGAATATATCACTATGACTTCCAGCTTATCCTTTGGGGAATACATATATATATATTTTGTGTATTTAGCTTAACGGACCGTTTTTCCACCCCTGTTGACCGTTGGTGCGTCATCACTGACTCATTCACGCCGGCAAAGAATCCGGCCCCATATATTTTTATTACCCAGCATTACAACTCTGTAAAGTGAGCTTCGGGAGGTAGGTAGCAAACTAACCCCAGGAAAAATAAACTCAGAGGAAGGCAGGGAGGGCTGAGACAGGAGCTGCACTGTGCCGCCTCTGCAACATCATTGGGGCAGTGCTGGAAAAGCTCCTGTAGGACACGTGAATGGGCACTGTGCCTGAAGCCTCCACCTCTCCCAGATGGGACGGTGGCTGGAAAGCAGTTGTTGTTAATTGTTACTTGTTCCTGGAGCCTAAAGGGATTTAATTATTAGCTTTCATCAATGTGCCTAAGAAACACCGTTTACCCCGTGCTGTACTCATAGCAGCTCTTGGTTGTTTGAAAGGCTCTCTAAGCTATGGGTTGCGTTTACAGCTCAGATGAGCCCGGGGCGCCCGAAGAACTGGGAGTTTATTGGCACTAAAATCTCCTGAAATATCAGGATCATCAAAAACATGAGGGGAAATTTGACAAAAAGGCTTCCGTCAGCAATTCCCATCGAACGTGTCTACCATGAGCACATCCAGAACTGCTCTGTGCTCCGAGCAATGCTGGCGTTTCCCAGCAAGTCCCTTCCTTCTCCCAGCAGAGATGTTTGGATGCAGAACAGCCCAGAGCTCCAGCACACGTAGGAAGGACCACGGCTTTTCCACGGCGCGCCAACACGAGGGATGCAGAGATCCTCACTTCTTGTTTGTGGCACTGATGGGCATCGAGAGGCTTTGGGTGTGGGTCAGTGTTGGGATGTGGGTTGGCAGTGGGACTCCAGCTGACAGTCAGTCAGGATGACGCCCGGCGGTCTTGAAGGCTTCTTCCAACCCAGATGATTCCATGCTGCAGTTCTGGAAAGCGCTTCGCCAAGTGGGGCTGTCCCGATGTACGGAGGGAAGCCATGATGCGTGCTGCATGGAGGGCTCCTCTGGGCCTTCTCCTCGGGCAGTTACCTGCGCTTCAGCACCGAAACACAATCCTTCTTCAGCGGCCCGATCTGCAGGTGGGCATCGACGCTCTCCAGGAAGAAGGCGGGTTTCAGCTTGAAGGAGAACAGAGCTGCAAACTGCTGGTTGATCTTGTGCTGGAAAGGGTCCGAGTGGGCTTTTCCAAAGGAGCCGGCCTTGAGCTGCTTCAGGCACGTCATCTTGGAGTCCTTGACTCCATAGAAGGTCAAAGCTTTCTCCGAGTACTCCAAAAAGACCCCGATGGTGTGGAAAAACGGCTGCTGGATGACAGACTCTAAGCCACCGAACCAGGCGGCGTAGTTCTGCCCGTTCCACTGCAGGCAGCAGGACCACGTGTTGCGGCCCAGGCGGCTGTGGTCATAGGAGTCCTGGGGGTTGAAGACCTCGGCGATGACGCCGATGCTGACCCAGCCATCGATGAGCTCCACCTCCCAGTAGTAGTTGCCCCGGTTCATGAGGTTCACACCCAGCACCTGCTCGCAGTTGATGAAGCGGGTCGGGCTCTCTGGGTAGGGGATGGGGCAGAGCACCCGCTTGGCTCCCTTGGTGCCAAAGAGCTGGATGAACTTGTCGGCCGTATCGCTGTCCAGGTCGATGATGAAGGCAACTGCGTGGGACAGGGAGAAGACAGGAGGGTGAGGAGAGAGGAAATTCCCCCAGCCCTCCCTGCTCCAGCACTCAGCAATTCCTGTGCTCTTTTTCTGACTGCCATCGGCTCTGTTCCTGCAGCATCCTTAAGCCATCGCCCTGACATCCTCCTTTTAAATCACCGAACTGCAGAATCACAGAATGGCTCAGGTTGGAGGGGGCCCTAGAGGTCATCTGGCTCATCCAGTTCTACCTCTTGCTGTGGGCTGGGTGCCCCCCAGCTCGGGCTGCCCAGGGCCCATCCACTGCCTCAGGCACCTCCAAGGATGGGGCACCACAGCTCTGCACAGTGCCACGGCCTCACTGCCTTCTGAGTAAAGAATTTCTTGCTAACATCTAACTCAAATCTTTTCCATTTTAGATTGAAGCTACTCCCCATTGTCCTATTGCTATTAGATGGTGTAAAAATCCCATGGCTGATTTCAGCTGTTGAGAATAAAGGTACTCAAAGCTGTGGTGCTCCCATACACAGATGAAAAGATGTCACTGGACAGAGGAGAGAGCAGGCAGGCTGCTCAGCTGTGCTATCAGACATCAGAGGACTCACCTGACAGAGCAGCAGCAGGAATATTCTGTGTGAAAGAAGGCTGTAGGCAACCAGAGAGCCCAAGAAGACAGGAGAGCTTTGCCTCCCTTCTTTGCTAGCCCCAGGGAGCCTCTCTCCCATCTCCTGCCTCATTTTAGACCTTCCTCTTCTCCTCCCCTTCCCTACCACTACAGTGCTCCCTGCACAGCCCCCAGATTCCCCCTCTGCATCATGCAATTGACGCTGACCAGTGTCTGACCCAAAGCAGACGCACCAACCCTGATCTAATTTAACACAGGATCCAATTTGCTGGAAGGCAGCAGAAATTATAAGGTGCGCTCGCAGTCCCGTGGCAGCTGCTCTGGCAGAACCACAGGCTGGGGAAAAAAACAAAAAAAATCACTTAAATAGATTATGGCCGTTGTCAGGAAAGCGAGGAGACTTCCTCGTTAGCTGAGCAATATTTCCTCTGGCACGCAGCAGTGGGGCCAGGGCCTGTGGGATGGAGGATGGACCATAGCAACAACTGTCAAAGCAAAACCCCATCGCTTACATTTCAGGAAGTAATCGCGGCTCTCCAGGCAGGCGGGATTGTTTGACTTGTCTGGAAATTGAGACTTGGTCATTGCTGGGGAAAAAAAAAAAAAACAGAGACAGAAAGGTTTGTCACAGCAAAACTGCTGCCATCAACCGGGGTGCTCCTGAAGCATCACCACTGCGGCCCCATCGGCATCCGGGAAAATGATGGACAGGAGGGAGCTCAGCTTAAGTGAGAGCACAAGAGGGAGCATCCCACACCTCCAGCTGCTGTGGTTTTTAACCCTGCAGCTCTGGGAGCCCACAGCCTGCCCGGTGAAGGGGGCTGTCTGTCCTGGGAAGGAACAGTCCCCTTTCACAGCCCTTTGGCCATTTGCCCCCTCCCCCAGGCCGTGCATAGCTCTCAGGCTGTTTGTTGCCTCTCAAGCTTTTGGTCTCCGTGGAAAAAATCATAAAACCTCAAGGAGGAGGCGTTAGCCCAGACAGCGATTGTGCAACCGTACCCGGGAGAGGGGCCAGCGCCTCCAGGAGCCCCAAAGCCCACAGGCATCTCCCAGCCCCATCAGGAGGATGCACCCTTGGGTTCCCCACGTGGGCATGAGGCCAGGTGGGCACAGACCTTCCTCCGTCTTTGGGAAGCTCATCCCATCCACTCCTTTCCCCTGCAAACAGTCCCACTGGCTTTTGCGGGCAGCTGACAGGGCGTCCTTGACGGCGCAGACGGCTTGGGAGCACTTGGTGAAGTTGAGCTCGTTCTGGAAGCTCGGGGCCGGAGAGAGGTTGTCTTCCATGGCTATTTTTAAGGCTTGAAACTCCTGAGCCAAAAAGACAGAGTTTCAGGAGGTTTCAAACAAGCCGAAGCTGCCTCTTGTTCCGCAACCCCACCCGGCCCTGGAGGATTTGGGAACTGGCAGCTCGCAGGACTTGGCCCCGAAGCAACCTTGCAGAAGGGAGGAGGGTGGCCACGTGTCCCTGGCTCCTTCTCCTCACTCTCTTTCAAACCCAGGCTCAGGCCGTGCCCACCTGAAGAGCAACATCTCCTCCTCAAAACATCAAATACTGCATGGGGCAGTGGGGCACCCCATCCCCAAGCCTAGGCACTGAGCCTGGGCTGCAGTCCTGGCTGCGGTGGGGGTGTGAGTGATGGAGGACAAAGCTCTGGCAGCCCAGCCCAGCAATGGGAGACAGGAGGATGCTGCAAACAGGAGGGAAATCCCACAGCCTCACATCCCCCCAGCTCTGTGTGACAGAGGACTGAACCCAACAGACATCACCCGCTCCTCCTCCTTGCCTCTGTGCCCACCACACACCTGAAGGAAGTAGATGGTGTCGGTGCTGGGGACATTCTCCAGGTTCTGCTTGCCCTGGGCCAGCTTGGCTCGCCTCTCCTCCTTCCAGCGGAGGTCAGCCTCGGCCTCCCCCAGCATGGAGCGCTCGCTGTCCTCAATGAAGGCGGCCACCTCCTTCTGGAAGGTGGCCAGCAGCTCAGAGGCTTCTGCAAAGAGTTTCTCCACCCGCTCCTTCTCCTTGCTGGCAACACCCTGAGTGCGAGGAGAGATGGGTCAGCGTCACTGCAAGCAAGGGAGGGGGCACACAGGGCCCTCCCAGCTCCCAGCAGTGCCCCATTAACGGAGCAGGGCCGTCCCAGGCACCTTAATGAGCTCCACCATCTTCCTGGTCTGTGCGATGGTGACAGCCAGCTCCTCCAGCTCGTTGTCCACACTGCTGAGGAATTTGGCTTGCTGGGCCTGCAGGCACAAAGGATGAGCACTGAGCTCCACATGCATTGGAAGCAGAGCACAACGATAAACCCAGCCCAGCTGCAGTCCCCTCCTCCCCCCAACCATGGTTTTGTTATTGGATATGTAGGAATCACAAGTTACTTTCCCTATTTCCTCCCTGTGCAACCCTCTGAACCCACACAACCCGCAAACATCCCTTCTTCTGCATGCTCAGCAAGGTGTTCAAGGCTGGAAAAAGCTAAGTGAGACCAGCGCAGGAACCCAGCACTGCATTCCTGGGACATTTCTTGTAAGAGCAGAGCGAAACAGCTCAGGAACACGAGGTGCTGCTGGGCTGCAAAGGAAGCACTGTTCCAGCACAGCGTTTCCTGATGGCTATTGTTAGCCCCAGCCTGCTGCCCACCATGGGGACAGGCCCCTTGGGAGCCTTTTGGGAGCCAGGGGAGCATCACGTGTGTTACTGGGTCGATATCCTCCAGTACTCAGCCTGGGGAGGTGGGAGAGGAGCTTTCCCAGTCCCTCCTTCCCACCCCGCAGACAGCAGTGACGCTGATCAATGCCTTTTGAGGAGAAACAGCTTTCTATTTCAAGGGTCCTATGACTAATGGAAGGGTTTCCCCATGGCCCCAAGTGCCCACAAAGGAAGGGCAGCCTGCCTGGGGCTGCTGCTGGGTGTCTGCATGAACCTCTGGGGAGGGGGTCACCGCCGAGGTCCCCGATGGCCCCACACTGAGACAGGGATGCCCCCATGCTGCCAACCTGGCAGCTCCATCTCCCCGCACTCAGAACCACAGGGAGGCTCGTGGGTGCGAACTTGGGAGGTGACTCAGCCACATCTGGGAATGGGAGTGACGGAAAAAATCCCTGCTGCCAAAAGGAGCAACACAAAGGGCTCATGGAGTGGGAGAGGCGGGCGGGCAGCGAGCCAGGGCAAGGAGAAAAACTGCCTTGATGGAGCTGTGGGAACCAGACAGGGAAGGCAGGCACCCTGTGGGGGAGGATGGGGGGTGGGGGACCCTTGAGGGCTGCACCTCTAAACCCATGGAGAGGGCAGAACTGAGTGTAGTGCCCCAGCGACGGGGTAGGGAGTCCCACTGCTGCAACACCCCATGCAAGCAGCCCACCTGCTGGGATGAGGTCCCATGTGAGGATGGGGTGCAGCATCCACCCCACCCAGGGCATCCCGTCTGTCCGTGTGCCAGGACGAGACCCCCACATGGGGAGATGCATGCAGCTCTCCTCCCAGTAACAGCACTCTGCTTTATTCCCCATCATGCAGTCACTATGGTGCAGCACCTGGGCGTGGGGGGGTCCCAGATGTCCTCACCCCCAGCCCCAAACCCATAGGGACTGCAAGGTCGGTCCGTCCTCCTTATTCCCCTTCTGCACTGCATGCACGGGGCACCGTGCCACCCCTGTGCCGGGCTGAGCCCCTCAGGGACAGGATCAGGGTTCCCATACAGAACCACGATTACACCCCTCGACCCTCTCTGCCGCCCACCGTTTGCCCCCCCCCCACGCACCTCCTTGTGCTCCCGCTCCTTCTCGAGGGACACCACGTCGTGGCCGCGGTGCTCGTGGGCGCGGCAGCGGGAGCACACGCAGGTCTGCTCTGCCCGGCAGAAGCCGTCGAGGGGTTGCAGGTGCCGCGGGCACAGCCCTTCTTCCAAGCGCCGCAACGGGGCTACGAGGCGGTGGGAACGGAAGGCGGGGGAGCGGCGGTGGGGCTCCAGGTGGGCCCCGCAGAAGGACGCCAGGCACACCAGGCACGAGCGGGCAGCCGCCGCCCGACCCCCCTCGGGGCACACGTCGCACAGCACCGCCGCTGCCCCCTCTTCCAGCCCCGCTTCTCCCTCCGGTTGCTCTTCAGCTCCCGGAGCCATCCCGGAGGGCGAGGACTCGGCTCCGATGGGTCCCGTTCCGCTGAACTCGGCGCTACCGGGGGAGTTTCCAGGCCCGGACTGAGGGGATGGAATAGCCGGGGGGGTCCGCGCGCCGTCGGGGGACGTCCCGGCCCCGGCAGCCCCCAGCAGCGGCAGCACCTCGCACAGGGCGCGGTTCTTGCTGAGCCGCAGAGCCGCCGGGAAAGGCTCCTGGCAGAGCGGGCAGCGTGCCGCCCCGCCCGCCGCCCCGTCGGGGGGGCCCGTCCTCCCGCGGAGCTTCCCTAGGCAGCCCTGGCAGAAGTTATGGCCGCACGGCACCGTCACCGGGTCCTTCAACAGATCCAAGCAGATGGGACAACCGAAAGGACCGTCGGGCAAACCCGGCACGGCCAACGCCAACCGCAGAGCAGCGGCGGTGGCGGCGGAAGGGACCGGCGGGGCTCTCCCGGTCGCACCCTCCATCCCTGCGCGCCCCGACCGAGCGGCCCCGCAGGCGGGATGGGGCGGTCGGACACTGCGCCCCGCCCGCTCGCTCCGCCCTCTGCCGCCTTAGAGGGGCGGCTCGGGGCCGCCTGCCGCTCCCGCGGGGATCCGGGAGCCGGATGGAGGGGTCTGTGCTCTCCACGTGCGAGTGGGAGCCCCGTGTCTGTGTCACCAACGGACCAAAAGCGCCCCGTGCATCCACACCATCCATCCTTGGGATGAACCCATCTGTCCACCAAAAAGGAACTTTCTCCTTCTAAGCCTTTTTTTCCCCAAAGAGAACAGGCGGACCTGATTCTCCCCCCTGAACAACGCCAGCACCTTTGAACCCAGTGCCCGATTTCACCCACTTACTGCTCATCCCCAGGGATGAGAAGCTTCAAAGCTTCGAGGTTTTATTCTGGGTCAGATCAACCTTGCGGCAGAGACATAGGAAGCCACATTTCCTTTTCTCTGCAGTGCCATAAACAAAGCCCTGGCTGCTTCTGCTGCTGGACATGCAGGGATGCAGGAACAGGGCACCCAGCTCAGCCCCACCGGCACTGAGGTCAAACCAGCAGGAAATCAGAATTTTATTGGGGAAAGCAGCTTCTTGCAGTGAGAAACATGGCACCCCAAAAGGCAGCTCTGCCACCTCTGAAAGCAGTGTGAGGGGCCGAGGGTGGCTGGGAGCACAGGACCTGCCTGCAGCCCCCACTCCTTCTCCTGGGCTCCTCAAACCTCAGTTCTCCCCGGGGCAAAAGGAATCACGTCTCTGCATCCCATCTGCACCACACACACAGCGATTGGGGCCTTCATCCCCGCTGCAGGAGCATCACCATTCCCTGTGTGCCTTTTTCCCCACCCGACGTGTCACAGCCCCAGCTCTCCTTCAGGCTCCCCGCAGTCCCTATGGCACAATGTAACGGTGCGGCCCTCGCACAGCCAGAACACGGGGAACAGCGGCTCCGTGAAGACAGCGTGGAAGGAGTGGATGAGCTGCAGCCCTTCCCCGAGGCCATAGAAGGAGAGCAGCCCTTGGTCGTAATCCAGGCAGATCCCCAGCTCGGTGTAGAGCCGCAGCTGGATTTTCTCCTCCTGCCCCTTGTGCAGGGCGAGGTAGCTGTCCTCCCGCACCTGCAGCCCCCACGAGCCGCCGTCCAACCCGATGTTGAACATGCAGCCCCTCCTTTTGCGCCGGGGAATCTCACCATACGTCACCCCCAGCACGACGGAGTGGCTGGAAATGGTCACCTCCCAGTAGTGGCGGCCCTGCCCAAAGCTCTGCACACACAGCACCTGCCAGGGCTCGAAGCGGCAGCTGCGTTCCTGCCAACCAACAGCAGCACTGGGGCCGTGCTTGGCTCTGCGCTGACCCCACGACAGCTCCAGGTACTTGTTGGCCGTGTCGGGATCGAAGGTGAGGTTTTGGTGAGCTGGGGACAGCAGTGACATGGGGATGCTTCATCCCATCCCAAAAGTTTGCGGCAGCCCCCCGGCAGCAGCACGCTTGCCTCCAAAACAGATGGCTTTGAGGAGGGAATATGGGATTGTGGGATTTAATCATCCCGGAGCAACCTGGTCCCACTGGTTATTCTGGGCTCATGTCTGCTGCTAATAAATGATGTTGTTTTTTTTTCTATTAATAACACTGAGAACGGCTCATAGGGCTCAGTGGAAGAAATTCTTACAGGTCCTGTATGCACTGATTGCCTTGCAGGGAAAAGTGACCTGACCAAAGCGTCCCAAATATTACAAGTCCCTTGTAAAAGGAGATGGGAAAGGGAACATTTAGGAAACGGTCCCTAAAGAATGGGAAGGGGCATTGGGGGCTGAGTGCAGGGTGGGCTCTGGATCAGCCCTGCACATCCCTCTGGGTGCTGGCACTGCCTTGCCCTGGGAAAATGTCACATCCAAATCTGGGGCCTTGGGAAGGGTGGAGATGGGGTGAGATTTAGGGCACGATCTGCAGGGGCTGACCCTAAGCCAGACACTATGGGGAAGCCATCCCTGGCGCTGCTGCTCCCTACTAAAGAGCCCCCCCCCCCCCCCCCCCAGTGCTGCCCCAGCCCTGCAGCATCTCCCCCTCCCCCCTCCCCACTCCTCACCCTTCAGCAGCTCGGCACGCAGCTGGCACACGGGGACAGGGGTGGACACCAACTTCACCACTGTCTTCTCAGGCTGCACCGGGCCTGTGGGTGACAGGGACAGGCATGGAGAGTGATGTCACCCAACTGCTGAGAGCAGAGGTGAAGGGAAATCATTGGGTGCATGCTTGGAAATGAGCAGCAAGGAGGGGACATGCAGGAGCCACCCTCCTGTACCCCAATACCTGTCCCCATCCCATCTATCCCAGCACAGTGACAGCAGCCAGGGTAAGGTGGAGCCTTTTAGGGCACTTGAAGCTCACCTGGGGCAATGAGGTCGGGGGCTTCGGGGGCACTGGGGCCCAGTGAGCAGGGCAGCTCCTGCAGCAGCAGCCTGGAGGCAGCAGAGAGGATCTCACTCATGGGTTCCACCACGACAGCCATGTTAAACTCTACTAACGGTGGCACCTCTATGCTCTGCGGGGTCAGGAGCTGCGGGAACTCCTGCAGATGGACACACAGATATCTGGGGGAGGCGTGGCAGCCCCAAAATGCCCATTTGCCATCCTTACGGCTGGGATTTGGGGTGTACCGATGGTACCTCGAGGAAGGCCTGGTGGTCAGTGCAGTTCAGCAGGCACTGTGCCCGGTCCCGGTGCTGCCCAAGGGCCTCCAGATGATCCTTCAACATGTTCCGGTCCTTTTCTATGCGTCTCAGAGCTGCCAGCTCCTCCTGTTCCACCTTGGCCACCATCTGCTCCCGGAACTTGGCCAGTGCTTCCTCAAGGTGGGTGAATTTGCTCAGGATCACAGCTCGGAGCCTCTCGGAGGACTCCTGCAAGAAGGGAGGGCCGTGAGGTCCAGAGTGCTCACACCCAGCCCAGCCCTGAGGTGGCTGTGGCCTCACCTTGATGCTCTGTGTCCGTTCCTCCAGCCCCCGCAGCGCCTGCTCCATCTTCTCTGTTTCTCTCTGAGCTTCTTCCAGGGAGGTTTCCAGCAGAGCCTGCAGAAGGAGGCACCTCGTGCTGCAGCCTCTAGAAGCAGGCTGGGAGCGGAGAGGCTGCATCCCTTTGCTGCTTTATGCCTCTACAGCCCTTTCCTCTAAACCAGAGGAATCACAGCTGTTACGCAGCGGGATTCCCCCTGTACTGCTTTTCGGGGTGCCTCCACGCCCCGCAGCCACGCAGCTCAGCACGCAGAGCCTCCACCTTCCTGCAGGCAATGCACCCACCCCCCCACGTTCCCCACCTGCTTCTCGGAGTGCTCCTCTTCAAACAGAGCCTTGCGGTGCTGCTGGCACTGCCGCAGGATGCAGACACAGCAGATGCAGCGCTGCTCATCCTTGCAGTACAGCTCCAGCGGGTGCCCATGCAGCGGGCACAGCCCAACGTGCCTCAGCTCACAGCCCTTCACCTGCACCCTGCCCGCCCGTGCCAGCTCCACCACGGCGCTCAGGGTCACGTTCTTCTTCAGCTCCAGGTGCCTCTCGCAGATGTAGCGGCACTCAGGGCACGTGTAGCCCCCCTTGGCCCCGTCGGCCGTCTGCTCCTGTCTGTTCCTGTGGTTGTCGATGCAGCGCTCGCAGAAGTTGTGCCCGCAGGGTAAGGTGACGGGTACCCTGAAGAGCTCCAGGCAAATGGGGCACTGCAGTTTGTCCTCCAGCTTCTGCGAGGTGGGAGAGGCCATGGCTGGGCTGGGGATGGGGAAAGGAGCAGGGAGGTGGGAAGCAGCCTGCAGAGCAGGAAGAGATGCGTGACGCTGAGCAGAGGCGGGTCAGGGCTCTGGGCCAGGAGAACCCTTAAAGCGACACCCAGTGGGTGCAGCTGCTGCCCAGGCACAGCGCAGCAGGGTGCAGGAATTGCTGCACTGACAGCACGATGCAGCAGGCTAACAGGGCCCAGAGCAAGGCATGTGACTGCAAATGCATATCCATGGAGACACTGTTCTGCGTCATTCAGTTTCACTTCTTATTTGTTTGTTTACCACTGCTCACCTCCCCCAGAGCATCTGGCAGGGTGGTGTGCTCAGAGCAACTGTTTGTCCCCTCTCTCTGCAGTGACAATGGCTGTAACACAGTCAGCAGCTAGCCCAACCTCACATCTTTCCATTTTATGCAGCTCATGCTGCTCTCATGTGCCCAGGCACTGCTGCTTGCAGAGCAAGGTGGGCATTCTCAGTCTGCTCCTTGCCACTTTTCAGTGCACATCAGCAAGGCTGTGCATTGAAACACAAGAAAACAGGCATCTGGGCAATCAGCCCTCAGTCAGCAGCTGGAGCCTGCAGCCTGGAGGGACTGCACCGCCCTGCACCAAACCCCCCACCTTGTTTTCACACAGTTCATTTGCAGAGGTTAAGGCTCCCAACCTCTCAGTGCCCCCTTTATCTGCTTGCCCTTGCAGATCCCTTATCGCTGCACACGCATTACTGGTTTGCAAAATATTTGCAGGCTGGAGTTAAGCTGCAACAGTTCTGCAACCTCCTCACGTGCTGTGGCTTTGTGCCCATCTGCTGAAGCCAGGGCTCACAGGAGGGCACCTTCATGTACCATGGGGCAAGGTTGGACACCCCCTAGTGAGGTGACATGAGCTCTGTCACCATTAGCTGCATGTCACAGCATAGCTTCAGCCCCCAAAATGTTTATTTTGGCTGAATCTGCAAGTTCTGATCAAATATTAAAAGCTCAGAGAGGAGCAAAACATGGCGTTTTCTGCTGGAACTGCATGACACCAGCACTCCCATTGCAGTCACCCCACCAGCTAATTCATCTCTGTTGGAATCAGGCTGGAAGACCCCTCAGGGCAGCAGCAGAACGCCCTGCAAGTAATGGTGCTGAGCAATGGCAGGAGGTGGGCACTTCCATGCAAGCTTCTCTGCTGGCTGCAGGGCCTTAAGAGGTGTCTGGGAGTTATTTAGAACATGAGGTCACTG